CTTTAGCATATTCGTTCAACAATTCTTCTATTTCTTTCTCTCTTCTTGACAAATTGAAATTGCGTTCAGTAAATGGTATGAGGGATTGACAAAAAATCAGTTACTCTACTTCATTCCTGATTTACTTGTTATAATTTTCAACTATCTCTCATCAGTAATGATTTACCTTTGATTTGATCAATATAAAATGAATTGATTAGATAAATTCTTGTAGGAAGCGTATTATTAGCGTGTAATAGTCTGCCATTCGTATATTGCACTGGCTAACAGACCGTATTTATCGATTGGCTATTTATTCAGATTTTAATTTTTCGTTTTTGTTGTAAATGTTGTTCACGTCTGGAATCGATTAGTTCTGGAATATCTACATTCTGAGTGGGTTTAAGTTTTACTATGAACATTAACACTGAGATTAAGGGATATTCAACTAATAAGCTACAAACATAATTAAATGTACATTTTAGATTCCATTAGTGTTCACATTTCATCTTATCGATTGATTGTTGGATGATTTCAATGCTAAGCATCTAAAATTGTTCCAATTCCATATGTTATATCCCTACTCACAATTTTGATATTTCTACCCATCTATCTATAAATATCTACGTATTTTGGTTTGCTATCAAGTTTGATGTCCAACTGAAATTGACTAGCATGGATATGACGAAAGTGATTATGAAATCTCACTTTTTGATTGACATTTGATTTTGTCTTATTTTGTCATTTATTTCATGTGATCTATGTTAAAACTTATCAGTTGGTTACACTATCTTTTAAAAGACTTCAGTTATTTAAATGTAATTTATGAGTAGTTATCATTCTCAAGTATTAAGTGAACACTTATAAGAACGGATTTTTAAAACATAGTACATATTCACTTATTAGGGTCATCAAATTGATTGTAAATGTAATTTATTCAAGAGTTAGAATAAAAATGTTATCTTATGATTTTTAATCAAAACTGTATAATGAAAATAGAGTAATAGAGAGTGATAGAATCAGGGATACACTAAGTAAAACGATTTCAGAAAATCTTCTTGAACACATTAATTTAATTTCAAAATAACGGTGACTAAAGTTTTCATTTAAGTTTATTGCACGTTTGAGTGCATGAATCACATAACAAAGCAAAAAAAATCTAGAACTGAATGTTATTAATTAACTAAATATTACAATGAGCAGAGATGATATTGTTCATAGAGAGGGAGGGGATTTGTAAACGTTGTTCAGTTTGTTAGTTTACATTATCAGTTGACCTTAGACAATTGTTGAAAATCAGAAATCATTAGATAACTTAGATCGGTTTTTTTATTGTCTTAAAAGGATCATACACAATAAGGTTACAACTATAAAATAATTTGAAAATCTACTTTCAATAGATTATGCGAAATGTTATGCCAATTTTTCATAATATTATTAATAATAAATAAGCATATCAATAACTAATATCATTTTTTTCATGAAAAAAAAAATCAAAAATGAACCTCATTTCAAGTATATGTTTCTTATTTTTACAATACAACTACCACTAATACCACTACTACTACTACTACTACTACTACTACTACTACTACTACTACTACTACTACTACTACTACTACTACTACCACTGCATAATAGTAATAATACTTTTCTTACGGAAATACCCCGTGATTTCATCGATTATCTATGAGTAATTGCTTTTTTTTTAACTTTTCAAATAGATAAAAGATGAAGAAGAATTAGAGTGCACTTATCAAAAAAAAATGTCAAAAAATTATAATTTTTAGCTTTCTATTTTTTTTTTAAGTTTAAAAAAAAGAATATACTATTAATACTATCTATGATTAATAAATTGATCTGAAATGATCCTTTTTACTATTTCGGATGTTGTGGATTGTTTTAACCACAGAATTACACCAATCTGGAGAAGACTAGTATTGAACACACCGCGAGGAGAATAAATATCTGTTTTGTCTTGGTATAGGAATCTTCTGAACTATGAACACTTACTAGGGATGGAATCCAGAGTTTTGACATTTCTAGGGAAGCAGAATACAAATAAATAATCGAGTCCGAATTCACTAGTCAACATTTCCTATTTCAGTCACTTTATAATAGAATGCAAAAATTGACCAGTGTCATTCCAGAGTACTTAAATCAATATCAACATGACCGAAACCTATTAGAGTACTATACCTGAACAACAAATACAGGAGAAGACGACCATTGTGGCGGCAGCCTCGGCAGCAGTAGGTATCAACATACGAAAAAGAAAAATCGATATTCTTCAATACAAGACAACATGTACCAACTAAATCACACTTGACGGAGAAACTTTGAAGGACGTTAACACCTTTACATATCTGGGCAGCATCATCGACGAGAAAGGTGGATCCGATGCAGATGTGAGGACGCGGATTGGCAAATCAAAGGCTGGATATCTACAGCTGAACAACATCTGGAACTCAAAATAATTATCAACCACCACCAAAGTCACAATTTTCAATGCAAATGTCAAGACACTTCTACTGTATGGAGCGGAAACTTGGAGAACTACCAAAGCCATCATCCAGAAGATACAAGTATTCATTAACAGTTGTCTTAGCAAAATACTTCTCATCCGTTAGCCAGACACCATCAGCAACAATCTACTGTGGGAGAGAACAAACTAGATTCCAACGGAGGAGGAAATCAGGAAGTGGATGGGATACACATTGCGGAAAGCACCGAACTGCGTCACAAAACAGGTCCTTTCTTGGAACCCTCAAGGTCAAAGGCAAAGAGGAAGGCCAAGAAGCACATTACTCTGAGAAACATGAATGAACGAGCGTTACAAAACTATCAGGAAATCAGTGAATCTCAGAAATCCATCTGAGTAATAGATTCTTTAGACTAGTCTTACTACGAATATTGTTTACCATTGTGATAATTACATTGTATCTCCTTTCTTCACCATAAGTTATTTTAATTTTGTTGTTAAGTTTTTGCATTGGTTAATTAAGATCTTAAAAATAGTTAGTCCCTTTGATGAATCTGGCATCCAACTTTATCTGTACCGGTCACTAACATGTGATCTAGGAAAAATTTTGATGAAACTACTAAGCCTTAACCGAGGGCGTCTCTATTAGTGTTCTCCGAAGGATTCACTGAGTCTGATCAATAATTTCTGAAATCTCGGTATCAAGAAAAGGACAACATTCTGTTTTGATGTGAATTTTTTGTTCATAGCTCACATTTCAAAAAGCCTATTGATATATGTCTTTCAATAATCTTGTTCATTTCATATAATGAAGAACCAACATGGTATTTTTTTGTCACCCAAAAAGTTCTGAAATTCATTGGAACAAAGTCTTAAACCTATGGTTAGTAGAATGTATCATGAAGTTAAGGTGTTTAATACCATAGAAGCAATTTACGCCTAACCAGTAGTTTAAATGGCATATAAGGGATAACGTCATTACACACTGTTATCTGGTTTACATACGTATGAACGTATATCAATGGGGGTGGGACAGTAAACATAACTTGCATGTTGGGATAACTTAAGATATACCGAAATGGCTGCAAAATCAAACAGATGGTCAAATAACAGTAGATAATGAACACTCGTTTTCGTATCTGAACTCGGCTGAAACAAGTCATAACAATGATCTTATCTTACACTTTATTAACTTACTTAGGGAGAATACTCAAGTCCGTTCAAGTCTTAGTCATTTGAAAGTTTGATCACTCACTTTGTGTTCTTAAACCATTCGAGCTTACACTAGACTTTCCCTGATAATATTGATTTACCGCCCAAAGTGGTATGACTCATATTGTTTTTACTTATTGCCTTATATTTTCTTTTCTTCCGATTGTCTCATTGACTCTTTTCATTTATGAATGTCTTTACAAATCAATGTGTGATCTGGGTTTTCTAAATGTTTTACGCAAACTCATCCGTATAGCTCTGATAGTATTCGTCTTATTTCATTATCTTAATTCTGATTGTGTTTTACGCTGTAACAGTTTTTAGAAGTCAGATGGAGCTGAAATCTACAATTATTTTCCAGAATAGTCAACTTATAGACTACGAACAATGTCCCAAAATATAATTTGACTGTAGACAAAAAGTTTTAGTTTCATAGTTATTATATTTCAATAGCGTCTGGGGTTTCGAACAGCTGCTCTGAATGTTTCTTCAGAAACATTTAACTGTAAGAAATATTACTCACTTTAATTGTTGATGACCGACGTTATATGAATGTGAGTTCCGTAGTTGATGAAATTTCACTACATCATAAATTGTTAACCAGACTTCTAAAGTAATATAATTATTGTAAGTATATCTACAATCTGATGCAGTTATTGAAGCTTATTTCAGGAAACCAGTTATTGAATGATCTTTAACATCTCTATATATTTCAGAAATCTGAGAATGTTGCACAAAAGGTCAGAGGCAAATTGTTGAACATCTCACTCTCCTAAGATTCCAGCCACATAACATTGGAACGAGAGCACATTTCTATATTGGAGAGACTAAAATTGTTACGGTAGTAGAAACTCATTCCGATTCTATTTACTGCTTAATAATCGGTTTATGTTTTATGTTAGCGGACACTCCTAACTCCAAGCTTTCTGAATGTATGGAGTAGGAGGGAATGAATGCCAAACTGAAATAGATATATGTTTGTATCTTTCTGTGAACAATAATAAGTTTGCAGCTAAATTTTTTCTCAACGGAGCTTAAGTAATTCAACGTCCGTTTGTGTCTAAATGACTTAGCTTTTTCTGTCCTTCCTCAATTTTGTGGTTTGGATTAATTTTAGCATGTTTTGGATTTTGTTTTCCGCAATGAATAAAGAGCTGACAGCCCATAAGGTCCTTCTGATTTTCTATTGGTTAAATAACCACAACTGCCCTAGATATCAGCCTAGCAAGAAAATTTATTTGACCTTCACCTTGAGCTTAACCAATCAGAAATTTAATAGATCAGGTCCATTCATCTAGCTGAGAAAACCGGGGCACACAGATGAAATCTCTATTTAGCCACGGATGTACGTATTTGCGATGTCATTCAAAGGGGATCAATTGTCCTTTATACCACTGCACATAAGGAATTTATGTTCTTAGCACTCATGCTACTGGATTCATGTGGCTCTTTAGTCAAATTCCATCAAGCTCTAATATCCTAACATTTAAAACTTGGAATTTTTTGTTTCCACGTGTCATCACTACACTTATTCTCATCATTTTAATTCAAATTTTCGGGTCCGTACAAGGTAGTCAAATATGTAAGCCACCTGATAGTCCTAACTTACCGGAACGTAAATATAAGCTCCAGGAGCTTCATTCAGCTTTTCAACATGTTTCTGCAAAATCAAATTTAATCAATGAAAAACGTCTTAAGCAGTCTCGTCTACAACCAAAAGGTTCTAATGCTCGATATATCACAAATGTGCATTTAGGAGTACAACTTGGACCATTGGGACCAGATAATTTTGCTCAGGTTCTTCCCGCAATCGATCTGGCTCTCGAAGATATACAAGCATTTCCTGCTTTTGGAGGTGTTAGTTTTACTACAGTGCTTATATTATACATTGATGCCCTTGCATGTGATGCACTTGCCTTGCTAACGCAACTAAATTCGAATGGAGTGAATGTTATTTTCGGCCCTCTAAATGATTTTACGCTGGCTAACGCTGCAAGATTCAGTACCGCTATGTACGATGTCCCTATTGTAGCTCCTGCTGGTTTCGCGCATCAGCTTAGTGATAAACTTGAATACGGAATGCTTACACGTGTCTTATTTACTTATTCTGATTTAGAATGGGTTTTTGGCAACACATTAAAACACTATGGGTGGTTACCAGATCAACAAACACCCATAGCGATAGTCACAACTAGAAATGTTAGACGTCGAGAAGGTGTGGTTGGGCATACAGGAATGGCTGGTGTTTTTCAGCATTTGATACTACAGAAGTTCTTAGTTAAAGCTGCATATAAACTTTTATCAGTCACCTTGGATGATGAATTTGATTTAACAGATCGCTTTCTGAAACGTCTTCCTGATTCCGCTCGAAGTAAGTCATTTATAATTATGTGTATTACTTCTTTACTAGTTTACGAAATATATAATCTCCTAAATACAAGGATTTTGAGTTCATCAGTAGTCCCAGATAAGACTTTTACTAAAGACATAGTTAAGGTTGTAAAACAGTTCGTTTTATGGTAAACGAAGTGTTTTTGTAAACATTTATTCATCGATATGGCATTTATTAATTAAAGCACTTGTTCCCTTTTAAAGAAGTGACATATTTGAGCTCCACATAAATAACATTTTCGGATCAACTTCACCTTCTTGCTCTATCAAAACATCGACAAGTTTTACCACTTAGTTTTGATTTTAGTGTAACTACTAGTTTTTCCGTTCATAAATTTAATTAGAGGCTTCATTTTTTATGTGAGAGCTAGCTTTACTACTGTGGTTACGAGACTGAAGTAAGTAATGTTGCTAACCTCTTGGTGCTTTGATCATGCATAGAGTGAGTTGTTAATAAATAAGGTTAATTTACTTAAGGATTTTATGGAGAGATTGTCATAGTTTGGACTTATATTCTGCCAGGTACTACATAGGTGATATTGTTTAATTTATTAAATAATATCGCATTCATCGTGTTTGAACATTAACATCTACTATTACGTGTTCATAATTTATCGATTTCGAACTAAGTTTATGCAAGGCTATTGATTTTAAAACTAAATTTCATACATAAGTTAAATGGACATTTCTACATTCCCATATCATTGTAACGAATTGTGATGTTCTTAAATTTGAGTGTGTTAAAATTAATGACTAGATTAAATTTATGTATTTGTTCAATTATAGGCCACACCATTCTCTCAGTCTGCATAACAATGTAATAAACTCTGCATTCGATTATTGTTTTATCTAAGAAATGATTTTGTTTGACAGATTTAACCTCGATAACTAAACAAAATGATGATGTTATATCAGGCTATGCATAATTATATGTACTAATATTTTCTCCTGATTTGAGTGAACTTAGAAATTTTGGTATAATTCGAATTTCCAGAAGTAAACCAATTAAAGAGAATCGACAGTAATATTTCATGAATTTTGCCAGAAATAATTAACGTCATTCAGTATGTTGCTTTGAGGTTGTATATGCCCGAATTTATATAAACAAGGCACAAAGTTATCACCGTTTTCGAAAATTAGTTTTAATGTAATCTATAAACTATGTATTCAAAACTGCATTTTTTCCAACATCATCATAAATACATTATTTTGATCATTGTGAATATTTTGTTACATAAAACTTTAACAAAACCAGTTAGATAAATTATAAATGAATTATTCCTATAATCTTTTGACTAGTAGACAAGTTCTAATAAGTATACTAAAAAAAGTGTAGTAAACTCATGATAGGTAACCGAACGTTTTGCATCAGTACAACAAGAGAAAATAAGCAACATAAATCAAATGAATAAACATTCCTAAAAGAGATGATTTTTAACTGACAAGATTGATTTTCTTTAAATTTCACCTTGGAACTAAATTCTCAGAGACTGTCCACTTCATTTGACTTAATGTAACTGGTAAATTTTTTATCTTAATCAAATATTATGCTGTAGTATTTTGTATTGTTAGTTCTGTTTCGATAGATTTTGATTAGGTTTATCCAATAGTAAATATGTTAGTTTGTAATGAATAATCTCTTTTGTAACACTTCTTGATTAAAATAATATTGTTCTTCGTATGAAAGCATCATATAGGACTGAAATTATTGATATGACACTATGAATCGTATCCATCGGTTTGATAATTAAGTGTCCATAATAAATACTGGAGTAATATACTCTACACTTGCTTTTTGGTAAAATTTGTGTGAGGATAATCATTCCCTTTTCAATGTCCGATAGTAGTGAAATATCTGGCATTTTCAGGAATTATTTCGTTCATGTTGTGGACAAATACTGCGTTTAAAATTGATATTTTTACTGCGGACTGCATCTTAGTCAGATAAAGCTTTTTGTATGTCTTCTGTGCACATGATAGTGTAACGCATCCAAACTTACAGAATAAAAAAAGTAAATTATGTGAAAGGGTTTGAAACGGAATTATCAGTGGATATCCTTATATTCAGTATTCAACCTCTAAGTGGACTAGAAAACACCCGAAAATGCTTGATACTTGACATGATGGACATTGGGAGACATACGAGCTGGAAACTCACGGATACTTATCCTATTGACAAATCTTTCAACTTAATTTTTGTATTACCGCTAATACTTCTACTGTCTTTACCACTTCGGGATTTGAACTGGCGATTGCTTCTCTATGCTAATGTGGTATGGCAACCTGAACTTATGTCCGTGCGTACCAAGTTCTATGTTGTAGCTGACTGACTGACCGAATATTCGTATGATGAGTTACAGCTTTATTTGATAATCAATAACTTTTTAATAAAAAGCTAATTTAGAGATTAGGCTCAATATCTCAATTATACAATATTGTCGGACATCTTGTTCAAAGCCACTGAAGTCTTCGTGAATGAATTTATGATCATTGAATTTAGTTTGTTGACCTACCTACCTATCAAGTTTTCATGAAAGATGTTCTAATAGTCACTCGTTAATTTTGATTAAAGAATTGGGAAGATCTTAATTAACGCAAATTTTTCAAAACAGACTTCTGGTAAGTGGTGAATTTCAAAAGTCTGGAGGATGATACTCTAGAATATCAATGAGTGGAACATTATGGTATATCACGTGATTTAGTTCTGTAGTGATCTAATGTAATGAACTTCTTAAGTAGAAGATAATATCTTTAAATGTTGTCGTTTTTGTTATTACTGGCATGATTTGATCAGATTTATGGGTCATTTAGAAGCATTCCAAAAGCGGGAAGTATGTCACTTGATTGACTGGTATTTGTACATCAGCTGAGGTTTGTCATATTGTATGCATCCTTAATGATAATTTCAATCAAAACAATTGTAGGGTGTTGAAGAGATATGTATGGAGACTTGTAAACTTCTGTTTATTAAACCGATTTATTAATTTATATTTGAAGAATTAAGTCCCCGTCCTATTGTGGACAATTGCGCTGCCTATAAAATATTTAAAAGTTGGAACTTTCTAGAGTTTCGTGATAGATTGCGCCTTCATAAATCTTGAGTCCGACTCCTATTTAGCAGTGTATACCCAGGTAGTTGAAATCTATGGATTGATATCTAATATATTCTTAGGGACGGTCTTTAGCCTACATAAGTTGGCAACATTCCACTTTTCACTATCACTTGTTATTGCTTATTGTGTATGACTAGTGATATCTAGATCTATCTAACATATACTCAAGCATTCGCCTCACATTACTTTAGTGTAGGCTTTGTTCAATATTTAGATATAATCATTCTATTTAATTTTAATTTAATTAATTTCAAATATTTGTTAAAGTGCATGTATTCTCATCTAATTAATTTACATTTTTTTCGAGTTTTGAGATGTGTAAATTATTTTCTTTAGGTTAAAATGAAAACCAAGATCACATTTATCTAACACTAAGAGATCATGTGCTTCCATCATGAGGTTTAAATATCAAAAGAATATTATTGAATAAGTCATATTTAAGGGGTCAAAAATTTTAATTAATAAATTTCAAAAACCATTCACAAGTTCTTATCTAATGTGGCTTAATATGGTACACAGCGAACCAGATCCTGTGAGTCGAACTCCTGACATGTTCTCAGTTTGAAACTTTGTTGGTTTTGATAATAACTTTGAATTAAAATGGCTGGACGGTATATTTATCAAATATTTATTTTCATGATGTGCGAAATTTTAGAAATCGAAATCTAGCCTGTTTGAGTGACTTACATGTGATTGGTTCATTGATCAAATGATTGATTTAACTTTTGTTTGTCATCTCAAAATGTTTTAACTTAGCAATGAAAGCCTTAGGAGTTTACCATTGTGCTGGAAAACTAAGAAAATGTTCATGTTGCATATTTGAGGTCTAAATCTTTGTTTAATCATAAATGCCACTAAGCATGTCATTGGTGAAAAAAAACTGGTGTCGTTATTTTATTTCTAAGCACTTAAGTATTATCCTTAAGTATACACTATGATTATTCTTACATCCTGAGATAATGTAGATATATATTTTTGTTAATAGTGAATACATATTGAAGGAAAACATAAATTTTAATTTTTTGAGAATAATGAACTGTGCTTCAAAAAGATAAAGAAACATATTTCTGGTTAATTGTCCTGATCAGGTCAAATAGAGTTAAATTTTAAAGCAAACTAATGAGTACTATGGTAGTAATAGTCATCAGTTCATTGTAATATTCACATTACAAAGAGAGATCTTCGTATTTAATCTTATAATGAACGATGAACATGAATTATCGGTCATCTTTCTTTCGTTCCAAAAATAAATATCTAATTTAGTTTTAAGTGACATGAGTTTAACTGTTATACAAATTAAGCTGTCAATAAACAAGCGAAATGCTTGGAATATTTTAAACAACTACTTAGAACTATATATTATAGAGAATTATAAGAAATGGAAAAGACTGATCAGTTAATTAGATGTTTTGAACTTATTTATCAGTATTAAAACCTTAAACAATCTGTTTATATTCATGGCTTGTTCATCATAACTAAACATAAGCGTGATTAGTTGCTTATTAAAATCTAATCTTTCCTAATCAAGAAATCATCAAGTTGGAGTGTTTGAATTATTCTTGTCCTGGAAATTTATGTAGTAGTAGTGTATAATAGATATGTTTTCGCGTTTCTCAGACTAATTGTAAAAATGTATTTGAATTTGATTGTGGTTTGGTTTAATTCAATGTCCACAATGCGTGAGATTCAGGAGTTCAGAATTCATCTTACCTCAGTTAAGTTAGAAAGGCCATATGAAAAATACATAGCTGAAAAACTTCAGCTCATAAATACTGAAAAAACTTTGAATAAGTTTGTAATGAATAATCAAGTTTTCTTTACTATGAATTGTACTGCCATGCTATTGAATTGGTTCAGAAAACATTTC